AAAGGCTGGCAGTTCAAATCCACCAGCTGCTCCTTGGAAACCCTATGGGGCAGTTCTACTCTGTCCTATAGGGTCACTATGAGTTGGACTCAACTCGACGGCAACAGGTTTGGTTTTTTTGGTTTTAGCATGTGGTAGGTGCTCAATAAACTTTACTGGATAAATAAATGAATAAAACTGGTTTAAAATTACATGCTACGAAGATTGAGAAAATATTACCTGCTTCGAAGAATTAAAATAATTTAGTAAAGGAAAAGCTGGAAAGTACAGTTTACAAAGAATGAATCATTTTAGACCTTGCTGGTCCAGGCAGGAAATTTCCCCCTACAAGTACAAAAACACCCTGCTATGGGCTTCGGTTCTCCTGTAGGGTAGAGACTCTCCTTACTTTCGGACACCTCCTAGAGGGAAGACTTTTTCTCCAATCAAGGCCAGCACAGTATTCCAATCTGACAGACTGAATTTGGGTATAATAATTTTTACAGGTGGAATAAATAATTTTCCATTTGTGAAAACACTGTAGGAATAAAAAAAGAAAAAGAATTAATTAATACCTTAAATTTTAAGGGGGGGTGCTAACAATTCAAGGAAAAAATATAATTGCAGAACTATAAAAACAATGTAATATAACTGAAACGCTTACAAATAATACACACTCTGCCACACAGACTATCATTATCAAGCTGCACAAAACATCTCAGAACCTAGGGACATAACATTAATGTCAGAAAAATATCTTTTTATAAAATACAAAATGCCCAGATGAACAGAACAAAAATGCTACTTTTTAAAAATATGCTTCTGACTACTGCAATGAGTAGAATGGAAGAAAATTGTATCCATTTGGAAAACAAGAGGGGAAATTTTGCCTTAAAAAAAATGCAGTTATTTTTCCTTCTCATGGAGCCACGACAGTCTCCCAAAGGAAATAATGTGCAATCCTTTGAAAAGAAAATAGAAACAATTGATTTCACTCTTACAGTTTTAAGGCAGTTTCAATGTGATTTCGGTGGTTTATTATTTCTCTATGTTTGAGTGGGGGAGAGTGGCATTTGGTAGATTTTATTTTCAAAACCCAATACAAGGTCATTAGTAACTATAGTGTTAATAAGATTGTGCTACATTAATCAAAGCCATTAGGCAATAGTTTTGAACTCTTGTAACTCATATTAAAGTACCGTAAAATATGAGGCTTAGTTCTTTAAGTCTAAAAATAATGAAAGAGATCACTTAGTAATACATAAGCTCAACTTTATAATTCTGGGTGTATTTTTGTTTTTGCATTACTATTACTACTGCTGTTATTTTTGTTTAAATGCAAATAATTTAGAATTTGAGAAAAATGTATCATTTTTTTCAGAGTAAATAACAATGTTTAATTTAACATGTTTGAGCACAATTAACAGAAAAGTTAATAGTGTAGTTGACTCTAGGGATTGGGATAAGAGGGGGGTGGTTTTAACCAAAATGCAAAGGTAAACAGCCTGTAGCTTCTTTAAATATGACTAGAACACAAACAAAATGGGGAGATAACAGCTATACGTGTGTCTCAGGAAAATAATCCCCAAATCCTTCAAATACCCAGAGGTTGAACAGAGCCATTTTAAAGGCATACATTATTTGCCAAAACTAAAGTCTTTGCTAAAGAAAACTGTTCTTCTTTGCACTTAGCCTGGGATGTGTATAATTGAAGGAAACTTCATGAGTATTACTTCTGCCTTTATATAAGTAAGGAAAGCAGGAAAATCCTTTTCCCAGCTAACTCTAGATTTATTTTTTTTCATTTTGAATTAATCGTCCCAAAGGTAAAATACTTTCATATTTTGAACTTCATATAGTGGAGGTTCTAGATACCTCTTTGGGAGAACTTCCAAGTTGTAAAAAATGAAACCATACCTTCTAATACACAAACGTGGAAGAGAGCGGAAGTAATTTCAATAATAGCTCACTCTGATCCTAGACTTCCCTATCTGTAAAATGTGGGGGTTAACCCAGATGCCCTCTCAGCCCCCTTCTCCAGATTCATGCGATCATAGTTCTTTGCCTGCTCTCCATTAGGGCACACCACGAGACGAGACCTGAAGTTTAGGCCTCCTCCTTCCCTCTCCCTCCCTTTGGTCTCAGGCTGACCATGAGAGGCAGATAATCAAATCAAACCAGTTATAGCTCAGTTGATTCTGACTCACGGAGACCCCATGTGTGTCAGAGTAGAACTGTGCTCCATAGGGTTTTCAAGGTCGTGATAGTTTAGGCCTTTCTTCTTTTTTTTTTTTTAAATATTTTATTGTACTTCAGGTGAAGGCTTACAGAACAGATAGTTTCTCATGTAACAGTAACACACATGCTGTTTTATGATATTGGTTAACAACCCCACA